CGATTCGGTCCTTACCGAGCAGCTTAAACCCATCGTCCGTGTTTAAAAGCTCACGTTGTTTTTGTTGGTTGGTGCCAGCTTATATAAACTGTAAGTAAACAAAAACCAGAGCCCTAGAACCGATCGGGTTTTAGGAGGAGCTGCCCGTATGTGGTGATTATTTACTCGTGTTTGGAAAAGTTTTTGTCGTTTTCCCCCTCTGCCCCCCAGATCTGTTGTAAATTTCGTGTTTGTTGCAAGCAGAGGTTGTGCACTTCAGCAAATCTAAATGTAGGTCTTGAATCAGTCCTCAGCGGCAGCATCTTCACCTCAGTAATTTCTTCTGGGGAATAAAAGTTCCTTGTTCCTCATTTTATTCTGGGAAATAAAAGTTCCTTATTAAAATATGAGGTTTGTGAATGTAGATCACCGCTTTGTGTGAATCCCTGCACATTTTCTTATCATCTCTTTGTCATTCTTTGGCTTTTGTTTGCGGCTTGTTTTTATTTTTTAAGGTGCACTTGAAAGCTTACAGATCAATTTTTAGTCTTGCTGTTGTTCCATTTAAATACATAATTATTATATTTTATAGTTTTGCTAGGAAACAGTGAAAAAATACATTTCAATAGGAACCCTAAGAACTATGAATTGTTTGATCTATATATGGAGAGGTTGGAAAATTTCATTGCAACCTGAAAAACAGTGCACAGCACCATGTTGCAATATTTATGTGCCAGAACATCAATTTTGACCTCAGCTGAGGTGAAACATAGAAGCTTTGGTTTCTGAGCGTACATGTTATACCATAATGGCTTAACTTTTAACTATGGCTTTATTTAATTATTTGTAGATAGAGTAGAAGGTGAAGGGAACATCTGACTTTTTTTTTTTTAAATTAAACACCGTATTGAAGACTTTTGAGGAGGAACCATTGTCACGTTCTGTATTTGTGTGGAGGCCTGGTCTGGTTTTGAGCACAAATTAAATGCATTAAAGTACTAATACAGGATAGACAGCGTTCTGAATTAAACTTTGCTGTAGAACCACAAGTACGTGCCTGGCCTGTGTGTCTCTGAAAGCTTTGTATTTACTTAAGTTTGGCTCGTTACTGTAACAGCTCATGACTTGGAAAACTCGCTGCATTGCATTGAAGCACTGGTTGTGCAGATACTTGCATGTGAAACAGTTTGCTACTAAAATAAACATGGGCATAAGGGCTCTCAGGATCAGGGCCAAGTTCAAATAAAGGGGAAGCGGTGCCTGCTGCAGTTGGAAGGTTTACATCGCAGTGTATCATTTGGATGAGATTCAGTGAACATTTACAATCTGTGACCTCTGGCAGCACGTTGGCTAATTCGGAGATGGAGGAGGGGTAGTTTTGAATCCCTGTGACAGGCAGCGGGGTTACTGGAGTGCGCTGGAGGCACCTGGTGGTTAAGGGTAAGCTGCTGCAGATGGCTCGTTACTGGGGTACCCAGATGGATGTTGAAAGCAAAGCTGAGTTTGCTCTCTGCTGGGACTGAAGGGCAGCCTTAGGCTGACTCCAGATGTGTCACTGGGTATGTATTTAGGCACACTGCACTTTTTAGGAGCCCGCTGTTTTGGGAATTGTAGGCTGTCTTAACCCGCATGGAAGGGCCTGCATTTCTGCAGTGAAGCAGGAAGTAACGAATGTTTTTGTTTGTGGAAATGCAGCTCTTGGGAGCTCCCTCTGTTTATGTCCATGGAGCAGGGGCTGCTCCTTGGGCTGTCTGTGCACCCATGCAGGGCTTTGGGGTGGTTGTCGCCGGCAGAAGGGTCCCTGCCCGAGTCCCCAGTGCAGCCTGAAATGTAGGCACAGCCCTATGCCCGCTGCAGATTATTTCCATGACCTTTTGGTTAGTTTTTACTTGAAATGGCAGTGAAGTTTTGTGAAGGGGAACCCTTACAATGGCACACTTACATTTCCAGGCTACGGATGGGAGAAGGAATACAATTGCTGCCAATTCACTGAAAGTTTGCCGGAGATCTGCATCCTCAGTCCTGCTTTCACGTTTTCCACGGATTCTGTTAATTGACCAACTTAGGCCCCAGTGCAGCAAAGCACTCCGGTGGAGGTGTGCACACGCCTCAGAATGAGCACGCTTCAAATCATAGTGCAGTGTAACTAAACAAGCAAACATATTTTTTAAAAAAATCAACAACTTATGAATCTGTCATCAAATGAAATGGGGGTCTTTCAGATCTTATTGAGGATCTCTTCTGTTATTAATGTACAAAATTTTTAAAAACTTTTCTGTGTTTCTTCTTCCTTCCTTTCCTGATGGTGTGTTTAGCTTTATTCCCCACAAATCAAGGGATGCCTCTGTCATAATTATAGGATGAAGACGGTAAGAACAGACCTTTCTGGAGTTTTTTTTGTGCAGGACATATCCTTACCTTTATTTTGTGTCTCAATATAGAAATGAATCTATGTGGGTTTTTTGGTAGCCGTTTTAGCTATACATTATAGTAAAACCAGGGCCTATTTCTTCACTGGTATAAGTAGAGTGTTGAAATACTACATAGCAACTTTCCAAATCAGTTGTACCTGAATTTAGCTGAAGGAAATGCTGCCATTTCTGTCAAAGTATGCATGACCTTTCAGCAGGGCTATCTCACTGCCATTTATCTAAATTACATGGTGTTAAAAAAACAGCCAAACAAGCCTGACTCTTTATTAATTATGTGCACATTCTGCTTTGACAGGCTGAAATCTAATTTTATGATCACATTGACTTATCTTTTGTCCTTTTGGATGATGTCTAATGCAAATGTCATACGACAGCACATGTGTTCATCTGTCAACAGCAAAATTATATTCTAAGTGTTTGTCTTTGCCTCTCTTTCTGCCTTTCTTTCTGGGAACAGATCTCATAGAAAATGTTTACATAGCTTCGAGAAGCAGGAGGGAGCCCAAGTCCTCCCAGCCCAGCGAGGTCTCGGAGCACAGGTCGCAGGTGAACAGCATTACTGTTTCTAAGAAACGCAGCTGGCTGCAGCAGAGCACCCACTGCCCTCCTCCTCCTCCCCTGGAAGAAGAAAACACCCGTAAGGAAATGCACGGGGCTGTTATCCCGGTCCCCAAATCTCCCATCTTTCTGCCTGAACCCGCAGTGCTGCGGGCTCCCTCCGTGTCACCGGTGGGGCGGGAGTGCCCTGTGCCAAGCTGCACTCCTGCCGGTGCCCTGCCAAGCACCGCAAGCCCTGCCGTGCCGAGGAGTGCTGCTCTGGACTTTGGAGAGGATAACGATGCAGATGATGAAGGAGAAATATGGTACAACCCGATCCCTGAAGACGATGAGCTCGACTTGCCGAGGGTCCACCCTTCTGCTGTGAATAGCCCTGTTGCTGTGGGCTCCCCAATGGCTCGGTACAAACCCCACCCTGGGGGTGACTTGGGGATGGCCGTGGGTCCCCACGAGGGTCCCCCACGCTTCGTGGAGAGCGCAGCAGACAGTCGGACGGCTCAGCCCAGTGAAGTGAGTCAGGCGGATGCCGTGCATCCTGGGGAGCACGGGCAGCAGCACCGGCAGAGGTTTGCCTGCAAGGCTCCCGCTGTGCCAGCAGCAGAGGACAACCCTGCCTTTAAGTACCTTTCAACAGGTAAGAGGCTTCAGGAACACAGAAGTACTACATCCTCTGTTTTCTTTTAATAAACCCTTCTTGTGTCTCTTTTTCTTTCTCCCCCTTTTATCTTTATCAAGCAAATTTTGTGTTGGAAATGCATGTCAAGTTCATTAAAAAATGACTTAAATCGTGAGACTGGTAATTACTGAATGTAGAGCTGCACAGTGGTTTCTCAGTCAGTTTGTTCCTGGCACGTCCAGGTGGGGTTGTCCTCTGCACTCTTTGGCTCCCACCTCGCTGAAGAAAAACGTTTTACAAAGCGAGCTCGCTAAAGCCTGGTAATGTGAGGACAGACTGGGTTTTCTTTCTATTAGCTGGTGTCTAACCCTGGCCTTGGATTCCAGCCTCAAAACCACTTAATGTCTGCAGAAGTTTAGGAAAAGCTTTTAGGAAAATGTTTTTCAATATGAGGGTGGTAGATCACTGGCACAGGTTGCCCAGAGGTGATGCAGGCCCCATCCCTGGAGATGTTCAAGGCCAGGCTTGATGGGCCCTGAGCACCTTGATCTGGTACCACTGTCGCTGCTCACTGCAGGGTTGGGCTGGATCAGCTCTAAATGTCCCTTCCAACCCAATGCATTCTGTGATTCTAAGTTTCTTTAACTTGCTGTCTGGGACATGTTAATAAAGACCTTTTCGAAGACCATATAAATGCTGTTCATCACATTGCTTTCTGTAGTTGCTGTCTTGTTTATGGTCTCTGGCTAATCTAATAGAGTGGAGAGGAGCGGTTTTCACGTTAGAGGCCAGCCTCTTTGTTCCTTGTTATCTTTGGCTGAGAGATTGATTGTCTCATTTCCATAATTACATTAGTGTGTGAATTCAGCAACTCATTAAAGAATTTTCCCAGTCTATTAAAAAAAGTCCTAATAAAACCCCAAAAAAATTAAACTCACACCAAACAAAAGGAAGCAGGAAAAAACCCAACCCTTTCCAAAAAGGATATTATTTTTAATTACCGATGTGTATTGTATCACCTTGACCTTAACTCTAGTATCCTGTTGAGAGTTAGAAGCAACATAAAGGTCAAGAGACTGGGGGTTCCAGGCTCCCCTCTTTGGAGGAAGTTGATGCTTGCTTTGCAGGGATATTTAAGAGCCTTTATTTCTGCTCGGCTCAACAGAGAGGACCTGAAGCACCATAACTGGAGCCCAGGTGAGCACTGCCCTCCAGAGGAGCCCCCTGTCCATCTCTGCCATCCCCACACTCCTCTCGCCCCAAATCCGTGTGTGCTGGGAGCTGCTGTGCCCGCATTCCCTGTGCGGAGATTGCTGCTGGGAACAGGGCTTGTTTTCAAAGGCACCAAAGCAACCGCTGTAAACAGCAGGAGAAAAAACACTCAGTCTTCTCTTGTGGGAGCTCACATTTTTCTCTTTCTGTGGAAATGCTGCAGATACATGTGTATTTTTAGTTGGGAAGTGTGTTAAAGTTATCGGGCATTTATGTAGAAATAGCTCACTTGATAGCTGCAGTAAATACTTGGGCCAGTTATATTTGCTTCCAAGATAGATGAAATACCATGTTCTTCGGTAGTTTTTTGTCGTCTTGGAGCTCTAGGCGCTTTGGAGAAGTCAGTAAGCATGGTTATTTGGGAAAGCCGTGTGTGTCCTGCAAACTGACCCCCATTTAGGCAGTTAATCTCTCGATATAGAGTTGACTATTTTAAAAAAGCCCCAACCCTTTATGTAAGAAGAAAAGAAGTCAAAATTGTTTTCATGCCGAAGAAGCATTTATTTCTGAAAGCAAAATTGCCCATTCAAATTGTCTTATGAGACCAGGGGAAAGTGTTATGGATTTTGCCTGATTGGTTTGTTATGCATTGAATTAATTAAGGTACTTTAATTTCAGCTCTGCTTTTGCACGTATTGAATAGTGGTCACATTGAATAGATTAATTGATGATGAAGTGGATCCCTACTGCTCTATGATCGGATTTATTATGGAGAAGTGGCTTAGTTCTTCTTTCTAATCCAGTTAAGGTGTCTACAGTTATTTTCAGTCAAATTTCAATTGACAGCTTATCCATACAAAATTACTGCCACATGGTCAATTTAACTTCATTTGTGTTAGGATCTTGTTTGTATTATACAACTGCTATGAAGTAGATGTCTATGTTGTTAGAGCTGGGTAAATCAAGCAGTAACTCCTGACAAATAAGCAATGACTGCTCTGGGGGAAAGTCTGCTTATTTTTCCTATGGATATGATTTTGCCTGTGTTGATATTTGTTAGTATTAGTTTGAAGTATTAGATTTTAAGAAACAGAAAAAAGTGGGGCACTATAAAACCCAACAAATTACATAGTTGTTCATTTTGTCACTTGCTGTTTTCTTCTTTGGCTCATTGAATCAGTTTTGCCTGCAAAGCTTTAAACATTGCTGCCTTATTTGGATTTCCGGCTTTGTAGAGAGAAAATGGTTGTGGAATTTTTTCGTTTTTTCCTTTTATTTTTCAGAAGGTCTTGATTAGATAAAAGATTAAGTAAAAATAAACTATAGAATTCAGTTCTTGGCAGTCTTTCCAAACACAAATAGATATTTCCTGTAAATGTTATCAGTAAAATGGATCATGGTTGCAGAGGTGCTAATTTGCCCTATAGTCTTAATTTAAACCATTAGTTCCTGGTGTTAATCTGGTTACTTACTACAGTAAATGTCATTTATGTTAATAGGATTTGTCAGGTAATTCCTTAGTGAATAATTCTAGCCATGCTGACGTTTAAAAAGAAACTGATTAAAAATAAGGCGCCCCTATTGCAGAGCTTGGGAGAGTAATTAATGTATTTTGTTTATAACAAGTACACAAAGGCTATGAATAACAAGATAACTTGGTTCTGAGTTTGTAATGTGGAAATGTAGCACCTGCTCGTACAAGGTCTGTGGGACAAGACTTTAAGTGGAAAGGACCCTGGAGACTGGTTTTAATTTTGTCTCCTTGCACAGGCGAAGTGGTTATGATTGGAAAAGAGGAGTATTTTTTCTTATAAGTGCAGCCTGCGAAGGTCTTGCACATTGTGGGTTGCCAGGATCCGGACTGGGCCTTTACTGCTGACATGTACTGTACGTGTGTTCACAGTCTGCATGGAAAATCCTGGTAGGATTCACCCCAAACAGATTTCTTTTCAACGCTGTAGGAAGAGAAGGTTGATACCAAATTCCTGCTTAAATTTTTTTTCCAGATGGAGGATACTTTGTGCTTTAACTGTTTTCCAGGTGCAAGGAGCTTTGGTTTCACGAGGCAGAAAAGTATTCGTGCGAAGTAGTTGCAAAATGTTTGAGATACCCAAATGGTTTGGTGTGTGTCAGAAGAGTCCATCTGCTCCCTCCTTCTCCTGCAGAGCTCAAGTTGGTTTGTTGGTGGGATTTTGGGGAGTTTGAAGATCGAGCGCTTATTCATGCATGTGTCAGATCCATGGAGTGGCAGTGCCATAAAGACCTGTTGCTGAAAGAGGCAAAAGAATGTTGCAGCTGTGGTGTGGAAGCAGTTAATTTCAAGTAGCTATTGCCTTTTTCAGTCTCTGACTTGTATGGACTAACTGTTTGTATCCTCTGACTGGGGAAATAGCGGCAAGACACCTTTTCAGGCCATGAAGGCACGGTGAGGGGAGGAAATCTTTGTGAGAGCAGCCCGAGCAAACGGAGCTTGGCATCGTCAGCTGTGGTGCTGCCGCTCGCATCTTGGTGCAACAGCAGTGTCTGCACAGAGCCGACTAATGGTGCTGCGATGCACATAAACCAAAGTTTAAAATACCTGCACCAAAATCCAGCTTGTTTGTAGATACAGAGCTCCCTACCTGATTGGAGATCTCCTGTGCTGTTACACGACTTGCTGCTCTCCAGTGAGGTACCGCTGTCAAGGATGCTCTGAGGGTCGCTGTGGCAATGAAGAGCAGGCAGTGGTCAGCCCCTTCGTGAGCCTCTGGGGGTTTATGCTGTAATCACTTCCCGTTTTAATTAACAGGCTATTTAGAGCAATTTATTTTATATCTTTTGCTCCCATAAAAGTGATCCCTGAGTTGGTTGGTTTATTACAGCTTAGTTAATGTCAGTATGCATAGCATTACAAGAAAACAAACTACCTTTGCAGAGTTCTTAGAGTTGGGTTTTGGTTTGGTTTTGGTTTTGAGGAACTTTAAAGTAACTCTGAAACCTTACTTGAAGTGATGAGGACTGTTAGATGTATAATAAGGTAATCAAATGTGCCTGTATGGGTATGACAGTGATGTGTGTGCCCAAACACATGTAAACCACATTAAGCAGGGTCAGACAGACGTTTTTACTGAGCTAAATCTGCATGTGTCTGGTAGGGGCAGCGTGGTAAGTGCCGCAGACGGCTGGAGCCCTCTCTTGCCTGGGGGCAGCGCTGTGCAGGGGTACAGTTGGTCAACACAGCCTGGCTTGGAAAAGACCTTTGAAGATCATCTTTGGTGCTTTGGTGGAAAAGGGAACCTAGATGAGATTACCTAGCACCCCGTCCAGTTCCATCTTGAAAACCTCAAGCAATGGAGACTCTACCGTGTCCTTGGGGACATTATCCCAGGGATTGATTTTTTTTCTCACTGTAAAAAAATAAATGAATTGTATATTACACACACCTATATATATATGTATCATCAGCTGCATCACATAAAACTGAGCATCCCCTTGCCACCCTGGTGGTCATTTGTGTGACAGGTGCCTTCTGTGTTTTGCGTTGTCCTACCATTCTTCTGTAATGATATTTTTAAATTTTGCCTGCTCAGATGGGATGTGCAGTGGCAGAGTGAGTGGGGACAGGGACGGTGAGGAGCCTGTTTGCAGCCTTGCAACTTGGTCAAAGGAACGAGATGCAGCTCAGTTCCTCTGGCAGCCCTGTGAGAAAGCTGGGTGGGATGGGATGGGAAGTGAAGTGTTACTGGCCTGTGCCACAGCTCCTTTTGCTGCTTGCTCAGAGCTGTGTCATGTATACTCTTTAAAATTTCATGCATACCTCAGCACATTGTTGGCTTCAGCAGAACAACATGTGGCTCGGCTCGATGCTGATGTGTATACCATCCTGCATAATACTCCACTGTTGAGCTCCTTCCTGCCACATATTTCATTTTAACTGTGTAGTGCTGAATGCAGCAGAGGTTGGACACACAAAAGTCAGAGTGTTAGATTGACTCTTCAGTCTTAATGAGCTGGGGGCAGGTTTAATTTGCTGGCTCGCTTTTCCAAGCCTGTGCCAGCGACTTTTGACAGAAAGGGAAGATTAATGTTAGTGGGCTGAAGTATGGCACCCCTTGCTGCAGAGCGCTCCAGGCCAGCCCACCAGTGGGACCGTGCTGTGATTTGCAGCACAAGGGGAGTCTTTGTCCGCCTTTATCAAACACCACGTTTCTGACTAGCTGCTTGCCAGAAAAGCACAGCAGGCGTGCTAGAAACAGCCCTTCCCCTGCGAGGGAGCTCCCTCCACGAGATGCAGGGCTAAATGGATTTTCCTCTGTCGCTCCGGAAAACAGATTCGAGAAGTTATTCTTTATAACTGAAACTTTCTTTTATGAAAGTACTCTTTTAATAAACTAGCTGCAAAAGTTATTAAAGCCAAACGTATACTGGGACTAGAACTAGTCTTTGTAGGGTTTTTTTGGGGAGGAAAAACCAAAACCAACAAATTACTGTGGTCAAAGACCGGATCGTCTGATTTAACTGTTTAAGCTAAGTGAAGCATAAAGATTAAGTTAGAGTTAAATGGTGAAAATTAATTTGGATGAACAGGAGATTTGTAAAAAGTCTCTAGTTGCATGATGGTTTGGGCTGGAAGTGATTAGTTTAGAGTTAAAGCAGTAATCCTTTGAGAAACCTGTAAGAGAAACTGCTGTGAAGTGTGGTTTCTCATGAAAACAATGCTGCTTTCTTTCGTTTTATGTGCTGTAAATAGACTCTTCCTTTCCCTGGCTAGCAAGGGGATGGATATAGGTGTTTGAGTCTGTGAGCTGCTCGGGCTGATTGCACCACGCGGGGTTAGTGTGCGTGGGGCTCCGTGGTACCCGAGCCTACACAGACAAGGCTACACGAGTCCTCACAGGAGCTGCTAAAATTTGCAAAGTGATGAGTGAATGGGGTGGGTGTTGCTATCAAGAACTGTTGGTTTCTCAAGGGATAGAAAAGTGAAAGTACTCAGTTGTGCTGGTTTCTGTCATTCTAGCCTCAGTTCCCCCCTTGCACGCTTCATTAACCTCTGTAAATTCAGTGCCTTTTCGGCAGTCATTACTGCCTCATGCTGGTGACAGTGAGAAAGGCTCAAGCTATAACTTGGTATTTGGATTGTATTTGGATTTCCTCGAGTATTGGAGCATGAGGTGAACCGCAGGTTCCTGGCTGTGTGCAGTATTGGCTCATGCCTGATTGTGTTCCCTAATTAGCTCTCTTTTACTGCTGAATTAATAAAAGAGGGAATCTATTTCCTTTTCCCCTCTTAAGCATCAGAGCCTGCTGTTATGGGGATTTTTGGGTTTGGTTTTTTTGGTACTTTGAGAAGTGAGTGATTTCCCACAAGGATGTCACTTGGGAACCTAATAAATTTAAGCCATGTCATGAGATGGTTGTGGCAGGGAAGACAGAAAGGTACAAACAGGAATGCAGGATGCAGTTGAGAGAAATGGAAGAAAAGGTGTGAGATGCTGCTTGCATCTACAAGGAAGGGATTTAGCGCTTTTTAGGGTACTAGAGGGCTGTGCACAAGAGTATAACCGTATTCTTCACTAGTGACAAGTCTCTTTGCTCTGGACCTGAGAGGACTGGGCAATGCTGATGTGTTGGGTGTGTAGTTAACTGCTCCATAGACAGAGGCGTGTTTGCCGTATTCCTGTGTTTTCCCATGTAAGACTGGTTTTGTCGCACCTGTGCTCCAGGAATGCAGCCGTATCTGCTTGTGAGGGGCATACATTGAGCTGAATGCAGTGGGTGAGATAGCTCCCTTGTTTATATGTAGTTTCTGGTCCTTTCATCTCCATATCGCAGAATAAATCTGTCTTCTAACTGTGCACTGCCAAATTTGGCTGAACGAGTCAGCAGAGTACAGCTCTCTGAATGCTTGTGAACATTTGACTGATGAATCAGCGATGGTTGTCTGAGTGAACTGCATTTATCAACTTATGGCAAATCAACATGATTTCCCTTAGTTTATTTATTTTTTATTCATTGTGAACTGCAGTTACTGTGCAGTTTGAAAATGATTTTTCCTCTTTTCTTCTGAAGGGTCTGGAGTTGGGCTTGCACACAAGGCTGATATTCCCACGACAGAAGTTTCTCCTCCAAGTCCCAGTCCTCTGAAAAAAAGTGGATCCATCAACTGGCCTTTCCCTGACAGAATTAAATCTCCCAGGACTGTGAGGAAGCTTTCCATGAAGATGAAGAAGCTGCCAGAGCTGAGCAGGAAGCTGAGTGTCAAGGGAACTTCAAGCCATAGCAGTTCAGAGAACCCCACCTCCCTGCTGAAGGGGAGCTGCCGGGATGCAAGCCATGCTGTGTCCTTGCCCTCGTCTGGAAGCTCAGCCACAGCTGCCAGCAGAAACGTGATAAGTCGTTACCACCTTGACAGCAGCGTGTCATCACAACACACCTACAAAAAGAAGAGCTCGAGGAGCTCCAAGTCCTTCAGCAAAGGTGGTTACCTCAGTGACGGCGACTCTCCCGAACTTATAGCAAAGTCAGGTAAACATGGGCATGACGTTAAGTGTGGGAAAGGAAAGGAGAGCCTTCCAGGTAACAGCGGTAAAACCGAAATAGATATCGATGCCTTCAGGCACTACAACTTTTCTGATCAACCCAAGTGCTCTCAGTACATCTCTGGACTCATGAGCATTCACTTTTATGGTGCTGAAGACTTAAAACCACCAAGAATCGACTCAAAAGATGTCTTTTGTGCAATACAGGTTGACTCAGTAAACAAAGCAAGAACAGCCCTGCTTACGTGCAGGACAACATTTCTGGATATGGACCACACGTTCAACATAGAAATCGAAAATGCTCAGCACTTAAAGCTGGTGGTGTTCAGCTGGGAACCCACCCCACGGAAAAACCGGGTGTGTTGTCATGGGACTGTGGCGCTTCCCACTCTCTTCCGGGTGACGAAAACGCATCAGCTGGCTGTCAAACTGGAGCCCAGGGGGCTCATTTATGTCAAGCTGTCCCTCATGGAGCAGTGGGAGAACTCTCTTGACGGTCTTGATGCAGATCGGGAGCCTGTGATGTTTGGGGTAGAGGCTCGAAAAGTTGTGGAGAAGGAAAATGCGGGCTTGATGGTTCCACTTCTGATGCAGAAATGCATTCTGGAGATTGAGAAGAGAGGCTGTCAGGTACTGTGTGTGTTTTAATCTGTTTTGTTAATGTTTCTGTGTTGAAGTAGCTGTTGTTGCAGAGCGTAAGCAGTAAGTGGGAAAGTGGAAATTGAAAACACCTTTACATGTACATTTTTTTGCTTTGCTGCACCTGCTTGGTGAACAACAGTCATTGTAATGTGGGGAGAATAGCAGGACTGTGTGAAATCAGCGCTGCCAACTTGACCTTTGTAGCAGAGAAGTATGCGTGCTCACAGGGGATGCTCACAGTAGTGCTTTAGGACTGGGGATAGCAAAACGAACCTGCAGCCCCCAGCATGTAGGGTCACCCTCAGAAAGCAGAGCCAAAGTGAGAACTTGGAAGTGCTCAATTCCTGAGACACGGATCGCTCCATAAGGACGTGTGTCTAAATGCAGAAATGAGTATGAAGTTCTTACCCAAACCCAAGGCAGTGTGTGCAGTGACACAAAGTGTTGAGGACAGATCTGCTAAAGCATTACCTGCGTGTGTGCAGTCTCGGGCCATTGTGCCAAAGCCTTGTCTCTGCCATCACTTTGTGCACAGCATTAAGATGAAGAGAAGACCCTGAGGAGCTGAATTAGTTGTTTCCACACATCATTGCTCCTTGTCTTTCTTCAGGTTGTTGTCAAGATTGGGACAGGAGATGAACGCTGTAAAGCAGCGGTGCCCAGTGTCTTTATCTTAATGCAGTTTATTGGTTGATATGACCTAAGGGACAAAAGTGGGTATGAGAAATGAGGTACAGAAACAGATCGCCAGTGAGGAATGCTGGGTGGGAAGCCCATTGAGGAGGATGAGGCGCAGTCCTAAGGGCAGATATTCCCCTTGGCAATCAATTTGAAGCTGGTGGGAGAGCTGATGCAAGCTGTTCTGGGTGTGTGAGCCCTCGCTTTCCGTTACACCTGCCCTTGCTCAGGTGAAATTGAGAAGCAATCACACCTACCACTGTTACTGTTTTACACTGCTGGCGGGTTGGATGTAGTGCCAGGTGTTAGGAGATTAACTCTGCTCTTTATAACCCGGGTCATGAAGTACAGAGGGAAATGGTATGTCTATGCAATTACTTTGCTGAAAGTCACTGATAACAATTCTGTGATTCTTACTGTGAATGCTTCTCCTAGCATTATGCAAATCAGCGAAAAAGAGAAGTTTTATTCTTTCCAATGTATGTGTCCCGTGGCTTCAGCATTTTATTTTGGGCTTATTGGCACCTAGTCATGCAAATGATATTGGGTAATCAAGGCAACACTGGTAATGAAGCGATTGGGATCTGAATTGTCTGAATGTACCCGGTGCTTTTGAGCGTGAAATCTAATTTGTGTATTTGCACAGGGAGAACCAAAAATGCAAAATATACTGTTAACTTCTTGTTCTAGCCGTGTCTGACAGTTTTGGCTTTCCTATAGACTGCATGCTGTTGTGGTGTGTTGTCGCCACCTGAACTTCAGATGTGGCGTTAGAAAACTTGAAAAGTTTTATAGAAATTGTCTGAGGCAAATACTAAATTGTATTCAGACCTGGGAAAGAGGGAGTACAAATTCCATTGGGTAACTTTCCATTTATTTTAGCGGGAATTAATGTATGGCCAGACAAATACTCCTGTTTGCAAACCTGGATTTTCATGGTCTAAGTCAGTACAGTCCAAGTTCGTTTTTGGGGGTTTTTTGGTGGGTTTTTTGTTTGTTTGGGGTTTTTTTTGTCTTTTGAGTCCATGGTAGTTTTGGACTGACCTTTCGCTGCTGAGTACAGCTGCCTTTAGGCGGAGTTCATTAAAATAAAATTAATATGTTTTAGTTCCTTTAGATCATAGGAGTGCTTTGTGTAAATGGTGTTTATGAAAACTAAATAATGATAAAATGCAAAATTTGAGTGCATTAAAACAAGTGATTTAAGTAGTCATTCAGTCCAAGAGTGTTGTGGGTTCATTCCTATCACCTTGAGCAAGTTAAATAACCGCTGTTTTGCATACAGCTTTCCATAGCATCTGAAACGTGGAGGTCAGCTTCTCGTTGTCTTTAAAGTAGCGCATTATTGGTGTGATAATGCAGCATTCATCATTCTCTTGAAAATCTGCCTACTGATAGAAAATAACACAAATTTTGTTTTCTGTCTAACTTAATCTTGTAGGAAAAATGTTTTAGTTTATTTTTTTAACAGGTTTATAACATTTCTTATTTTTAGTAGGTTGTTGTATGCTTTTTTCTGCTAATTATTAATAACTCTGTTTTGGTACTGTAATTTTGTGTGTATAAAGCTCAAACACTTTTTCTCCTCATTTCTTCCTGC